GGGGCTGTGCCCGGCAGCGGCCCCCTGCATCGATCCGGCAGCCCCGACCCTCTTCTGGGCCCGCCGCCCACTCCCAGGCTTTTGATCCGGTCCTTTCGCCTCCACCTTCCCCGGCCTCAGCCTCGGAAGGTCGCAGACCCAGACGTCCGCGTGCGTCTGCCCTGAACTGCAGCTCAGCAGCTCCAGGGCTGAAAGCAGCACCTTCGCACCAGCGGTCTCCTTCCTGCTTAATTTAAGGGCGCCGTCGTGAGCTTGCTCTCAGCAACACGCTGGCTCTGGAAGGCGCACAAACCTCCCAGGTCCACCAGGTGATGTCTCAGTAACAGCTTTCATAAGCCGTCATCTGAAACGCGGGAGACTGTCCCGAACCCATAGAGCGTCTTCCGTTGCAGCTATTACTTTCGCTTTAAATTGGCGGTAAGTCTTTGTTTGGTTTTGTTTTTAAGTTGAAGAAAAATTATCAGCACAAGCTGCCTGAAAGCACGAAGCTGCCTCCTGCTGCGGGTCCAGAGGGGAGGCTAAGAGAACACCCACCGTCTCCATCCCAGCCCCGTGCCGGCAGGCCCAGGGGGCTCACCACGTGCGCGGGGACGAGAACCCCAGAGTCGGCTCGTGGGACACTGACCGAAGGGGGCCCAGGCTCTCCTCCTGGGGAGGCTGCCAGCCTGGTCCGGCAGGTGCGCTACTTCCTGGACGTGAGTGGCAGCTGGGGAGTGGGGGGCTGCGCCCCGTGGAGGCTGGGGGGTGGGCTGGGCTGGCAGCCCTCGCTCGGCTGTCCGAGAGGGATTTTTAATTTCCAAGGCCTGTCTGTGGTGAGGACTCGAGGTAGTGACGCTGTCCCCTCCTCCTCGTGGTCGGACTGCCCTGCAGGACCCACGTGCCCCACGGAAAGGCACGGTGGGGCTTCATCCGGGACACGGTGGGGAGATTAACTCACCTTGTAGGGGTCTTTCCCTGACTGACTGCATGGCAGGACTTTCCAGAGGCCCCTTTGAAAGAGGTTTCGACAGAGACACGGAAACACGAGAATCCTCTTCAAGGCCCTGGAGTAGGAGGTGCAAAAAACTTCCTTCTAGCCAGCGGGTTAAAAAAATGCAGATTTTACTGCTGTCATGCAACTGGATTTCATAGCTACAAGCTAATAGCTGTGACGAAGGAATTATTAAAGTGTTAAATATTTCATTTAAAAGGGAACATTGCAGCCACTTTAAAAAGAAAACTCGGAACTCATCTGTTGAAAACCACAGTGTGTGAGATGGTGCAGGAAGGACAGCTGAGGTCCTGCATGTTTGCCCTGGGGGTCACGGCACAGGCTGGTCCTTCCCCAGCCAGGGTCCTTGAGGGGGGTGTCCCCGGGGAGCTCCCACCCAGCCTGGCAGAAAAAAGCACAAAGTCCCAAGGTTAGAGTGGGGGTGGGGGCTGCCACCCATCTGCTTGGCCATGCCTGCCGGGAGGGGAGGGCAGAAGGCCTGAGAAGGGGCAGAAAGTGTCTACACACATTGTAAACCTGAACGTGATCTTGGTTTTCTGCAGGCCCCCCTTTTCCTGAACTCGTGGTGAAATACTGCTTTCTGGAGCCGCCTTCCTTAGTCATTCTAACTGCCTCTGCCATTGACCTCCCAGGCTATAAACAGTGAGATGCACATTATACAAAGAAGCTGCATTTTTAAAATAAGTAAATAGAAAGAAGTTAGGGAGTATTAACAGAAAATAAGCTTAAATGCTATTTCATTGTGAAAGAAACAGTAAGATTTATTTCAAGAATAATGGCTTCATTAAATAACTATGTTTGGAGAAGACGGAATTCAAGATAAACAAAGCTGACCTTTGTAAGAGGTTTATGGAGAGGACCTGACTTCCCTAAAATGCTTCGTTGTGTTACAAGAGGGCTGGCTCATTAGCAAAACACAAAAACGAACAAACATACAAAACTCAACCCTACAAGATATTAATTTCTGGTTTTGAAGTTAAATGACTAACACACAGTCTCAGGCGGCATCAGAACGACCCCTGTTCACACTCACCTTGTGCTTCCTTCACCCGCACAGGGCGGCTCCCCCGCGGTAACTGGGGCCTCCCTTTCCCACAGAGGGAGCCCACCTGTTGTGGCCCCAGAGAAAGGCAGCCCCCAGACTTCCAGACGGCTGGTCAGGGGGCCCGCTCAGCAGTCCCTTGGTAGAAATGCCCAGATAATTAACTTGTTACTATTCAGACTTCGGAAATGCCCCAAGATAAGAGGTCGATGGATGTGAAATTTCCCACGTTTGACGTCTTACCCCACAAAAACACAGTTCCACCTGGTTCAACTCAGCACAGTTTTGCGACTCGCCTTACAAAACGGGCCCACGGCGAGCAGCACGCTCATCTCTCGGAAGCATCCTGATGGGCGAATGGTCCCGTCCCAGCGCAGCGGGGCCTCTGGGCCACAGGCCAGGCCGGGGCTGGGCTAGCTGGGCCCATGGCGTGGGCCGGGGCAGGGCCGGAGCCTCACAGGCGGGCCCTGCGAAGAGCGGGGGCGGAGCGGGTCGGGGGGACGCTGGGACCCAGGGAGGGGCAGGGCTGGGGCCAGTCATCTCCTTGTTTCTGAACAAACTGAAATAGGTAGACCTGGTCTAAATCTCAGAGGAATGTGATGAAAAATGACATCCAGACGTTTGCTAAACATATTCACAATCTGAGACGCACAGAGAAGTCCATCCAGGAAGCGTTTATTCCACGACAAATGCACCCAGCCTGCCTCCTTCCTCCTGTGGATCCACAGCTGCCAGCAGCTCTGAGGCTCTGGGGCGCCTTCCCACGTGCCGTGGCTTCACCGGCCACGGGCACGGAGCAGAGAGAGAGCAAAGCCAGCTACCGCTGGACGGAGGGGGTGTCACCACATCCGGGGGTCAGTGCCAATTAACTACGTGCTAGTGGTCGTGTTATAACCACCCACCACCTCCCTGCTTAAACCATAAAAGCCACACACCTGGTCCCTGCCCAGCAGACGTACTGAGCCAAATGAGAGAAACCTGGTGGGCACAAGCTGCGGCCCGGGGGCTCTGGCCCTGCAGCCCCCACTGCCTGTCAGCAGGCCGGCCTGCCCGGGACCCCGGCCCCCACCCTGGAACCCAGCTGGAGGGGACTCGGCCCAGTCTCAGGTGCCCACCAGCACTGCAGCGCTTCTCCGACAGGGGGCGGGCAACTGGGGTGGCTGGACAGCCTTCATCCTTATCTCAACAGCTACTTGCTGCTTGTCCTGGGTGCCCAGCCCGACCGTGGCCATGACTGTGATCGTGACCGTGACCGGCTGGCAGAGGAGGTGACCAAGCTTGGGCCCAGAGCCGGGAAGGCAGGCGGCGGAGTAAGTGTGGTCTTCAGGCACTGTGGACAGGACTGGAGGCTTTCACAAGCTCACCCCCTGCCCGCCCCCCAGGAGATCGTACAGATGCCTCCTGCCCCGGCTTCCTAATTTTTCTGCTCTGAAATTTCCTGAAGCTTAACTTTCAGTTCGCTTGTTTGACAGACTTAAAGGCAAGGAAAGCAGCTTGGCCAGCTCTTTCCTGCTCCCGCTGGCAGCGCAGCAATCCCCCAACGGCTGTAGGAGATGGACGCGCTCACCGTCTAAGATTCGCAAGCCACTGCTTTACAAACAGACCCACACCTGAGCTCCTGAAAGCGCAGAGCAAGACCCGCACCCTGCACCTGGCACGTGGGAGGTGGGCATGCGGGGCGTCTCCCACACCCTGTGTGGACGGGGGTGTGGGAGAGGGGAGACCGGGCAGGTGGGCGAGTGCTGGGCAGGGGCGGCCAGGCGTCTGTAGGGCACCACCTGGACCGCGAGGGCCCCGTTCATGACGCAGATGGTGGAGGGTTTCTGGACACGTGTAGACGTGGGGCAAAGCCCCTCCAGCTCCCACGCCTTGTCCTCGAGACGCCCTTCTGGACGTTCTGGAGACCCCACAGAAAGGAAACTTCTGGAGACGGCCCTGTGTGACCCGAGTGCCCCTGTTCAGGTTCAGTTCATCATGAGCAGAACTGTCAGAGGGTCCTCTGGTCACTCACCCGACCCTGGGTGTCAACTCGGTTATTAGCTCAGCTTTCTGGAGCTTCTTCCTGCTTCCCCTGAACACTCTACTCCATCTTCACGTTCATTTTTGCTGAAGCCACAGCCGCAATTAGAATATCATTAAACTTACCTAGTAAATTCCATTTTGAAATTCAAGACTGCTTTAGATTGACCTCGTCTAAAATCTCAGGGTCATTTTTTTCCTTAAGTGCACACACGCACACGTATGTATCTGTATGTAAATACACACTTGTTTATATTAAAACGACTATGAAAAAAATCACTATGCAAAATAACCTCTGGTATGTGTCTGGAATGACTTTAGTCGCCATAATTAAGTTCCAAACAAAAGCTTAAAAAGGAACGTCTGGGAAAACGTTTTTAGGTTATCACAGACTTTATGTGCCGTTAGCATCCTGCATGTGGACAGTAAGTTCTCAATTCATCCCTTAAGAATATAGCATCTAACTACGTAAGTTTGAGAAATTAAATTGAAAACTTAGTCAAGGAGACAGGACGCTGCTACCCGTTCGGATGTAAGTGTCACCAACTGAGTTTATGGAAGTGGCTAATTGTCCATGTACAAGCCTCATTTTCTGTGCTGTTGGCAAGCAGATAGTTTAAGTTAACAATAAGCTTATTGAAAAATTTACTGCCATTCAGATGTGTTCCTGTTTAAACCTTTCAGCCAGCCAGAGTCAGGAGTCGATCTGCATGGATCATTTTTACTGCCTTAGCCAAGAATTATGCGACCGTGTGCCAAAACTAACACAGCCACTTGGAACGCGTGGGGATGGCGAACTCGTGCTCACCGCGTGGCCACGTGCTGTCTCTGTTTAGATGATGTGAAGACACTGAGTTTGCACAGTCAATAAAGGGAGCTGTGATCTAAGTGAGAGTTCATAAGTCAAGCTCCCTGAGCGGCACACTGCGAGGCGGCCGGGTTACTGACCTTGCTGGAAAATGGGATGGTGAAGGGCCGGCACCGGGAGCTCCTCCAGGACCGCGGGCTTGTGGAAATAGGCCTCCAGCCAGGCCGCGCACTGCGTCAGGGGCTCCGTCATTCCCTCCGGGCCTCCGGGCAGCTCAGGACCAGTGGGGGCCTCCGCGGGGCTGCAAAAGGGATAACAGGACCTTAATACACCCCAAGAAGCACACGGGGAACGCCACTGCACCTGGCCGGGGGCGTCTCGACTAGCTGCATGTACCATGGGTGCTGGGACAGTAGGGGATGACGGCGGGAGCACAGGTGCGAGATGCCTGGGTGCTACTTCACCCACATTTCCACCTCCAGGCTTTCAGAGACACAGTCTTTGACACAAGGCACTTAGGAGGGAGGGCACCCTAGCAGGTGAGCCACTGCGATGTCGGTTCGATGAGCTCTTCCTGAGGCCCCCCACCCCAGCAACCCCCCCAGCACCCCTGGGGGCGGGCGCCTGAATGAAGTGGGGAGGCCACGCCCACTCGGCCCGGCCCAGCACAGGTGTGACAGGTGCGGCTGGAGTGCCCAGGGACACGGGCCTGAGCCCACCTCGGAGGAGCGGGGCCCCAGCGCGGGCAGGGCCGTGCAGGTTTGGAAATGCGCACGCACCATCCTACAAGCAGCGGGGAGCGGCCGAGACCTTTAAGCAGAGTCTCATGAGCAGTCCTGTGCTGGGGTCTGGGCCTCAGCGTCCGCAGGTCTGAGTCTCCAAGGTCCTTGCATCTTTCCAGAAATAAACTTCCCTGGATGGGATGCACAGAGGTCCCCTTTACGCCGTTTTCCACAAATGGAGTTGGGGGGTTGGGGAAGGCTGTGTAAGAGCATGACTGTGAGTGGCAGTAAGGAAGGAAGCCGGGAATGAATGGATAAAGGAGAAATGAGCCCACCGAGATGCCCAGGGAGACGGGGGCCGCTGAGGCCCAGGCCCAGCACCACTGGCCATCCGGGCGGTCCTGCGGACAACACAGCTGAACAGAGCAGGCCCAGGGCTCCTGCAGGCTGCCGGCTTTGGCGGGGGGCGAGGAGGGGGCTGCACGGATGGGCTCACTGCACAGGCAGAGAGGGGTCTGCAGAGCCGGCAGCAGAATGGCATCCCACAGAAATGCCCATGAGATGGAAACTGTCTTGTTGCCCTGGTTTCTCTCTCCACTGGGGCGTCTGCCATAGAAAGGAGGGGACTTCTCTCCTGCGCTGGCCTGAAATGTTTTCCCATCAGAGAAACTCCTGGTCACTCTCTTGCTGCTCTGCTTCCCACTTACTGAGTGACAGTGTGCTGATGGTACCAGGAAAGAAAGACGGAGAAGGGCCACGTGCTCTGCTGCCCTGCTCACGGGGTTGTGGAGAGACGGGGTGACCGAGCTCCCTCCAGACGAAGAACACGCCCAGGGAGCACTCAGGTGCCCGCGCTCAAACCGCATGTCAGCGCCCTTGACCCTGCGGGGAGTAGGACAGGGCCCGGGACGCCTCAGGACCCCAGCGTCACCACCTTGGCCTGGCACCTTCTGCAGAGCCGGGCGGGGTGGGGATGCCAGTGGATGCAGCAGCAAAGGCAGGCGACATGCAGGCCTGGGTGGTCTCCAGGGATGGGGGGTCTGCTTGGCCGTCACACGCTGTCAACAGGGCTCCCCGCGTCGGGGGCACACAGTGCAGGAGACAGAATCTTCAACTGAGGGGCTGGGGCGTCTGTGCCCACCGGCCACCTGCTTGCTTCCGGGAGTCGTGAGTCTTACTCCGACGCCCTGCTCCGCTCAGCGGTGTCGGGAAGGGCCAGGGAGCGGCGGGCGTCCTGGGGCACTGCCCACGCTGCTGGCCGCTTCCTCCGGGTCGCTAAGGGAATTGAAATGTGAGCTGTGTTTCCGAGCATTTCCCTCTCTTAAAAGGATACTTGAAGAATTTTTATAGTAGTAAAATTCATCTTAAATTGATTTTTTATGCTTGTGCTAAAGATCTCAACCTCTGATTTACTCTGTAGTTCTCCTTTTTAACTCTTTCTCTATTGGCATTAGATAACTATTCATGGGTGAAATGTAATTAAACAGCTTTGATTCCGAAGCAAGGATTTATGGTGCTACATTTAAAATGAATGGCATTAAACACACACATAAAACCAGATTTTTAAAGCCATGACACAAATTTCCATTTCTACAGTAAAATGAAATTTATTCCCTGCCCTGCCCTCTCCTGCAACCGCGCTCTGCTCGTCACTGGAAGAGCTGCGGTGTGACAGGACCACAGCATCACTCACGGCCCCTCTCATCGTGGAGGAGTTTCTCCTGTCTCCTCACCGACAAGCCCTGAAACCCCAATCATTATGGGCTCCGTGGCCCACACTTGTTTAAATCCCACATCCACGTCGTCCTTGGGAGCCTGGCGACTCACCTAGCGCTCAAATGCACACACTCGTCGCAGGGAAGCCCCTCTGTGTGGGCGCCCGCCCCCAGGACAGCTGACTGAGCGCTCCCAGCTCTGCACCTGCCAGTCCGTCCCACATCACAAGCGTGCCGGCACTTTAAGCCCACCCAGCTGGGTGGGAGACGTGGGTGCTCAGACTGCTGGGGGCCGCAGGACTCCACTGGTGGTCAAGAATCAGACTCCTCGTTGCTGAAAGAGCCCTGCTCCCCGCAGACATTCAGACACCACGTACTGGGCTTAAAGCCGTCTGATGTAAGAGAACAGGCCCCAAGTCTCCAGCCACTCCTGTCTGGCCAGCACCCTCAGATAGGCCCAGCGGGTGGGCTGTGTGACATCTGCCGAGGGTGCTGGGCATCCCAGCGCCACTCCTCTTTCTGACCCCAGTATCTTCCCAACATCTCTCTCTTGCGAGGATGAGGGTCCTATGGTTTGGGAATGTTAACTGGTGACACTGGACGGTCACCCAAGAAGAGAGTTACAAAGGCTGGTATTCTTCTGAGACCTTCTGGAATTTGGCAGGGAGGCGCCCTGAAGGTGACCTCTGGCGAGGCTGGGAGACCGGTTTGCAAGAAAGCGCACGGGCGCTGTAACACAACCTTGAGTGTGAACAGGCACCCTGAGCCCCGGCTGCACGCCACTCAGGCACCCGGTGGCACTCTCGGCTCCACCGGCCTCCAGGACACGGTGTGCAGGGCAGGGGTCCAGTACCCAGGGGCAGCGCGCAGGCCTCAGGCGCAGGCAGGCAGAACTGCAGGGGAGGAGGCGTGAGAAGCGCCGCGTGGAGACCCCGCCGACGGGCACCGGGAAGCACAGTTGTGTCCGCTCGGCGGGACCCTGGCAGAGTCCCTGTGTCTGTGTCTGAAGGATTTACCCTGCACTTAATTACAACTCCTTGCTGAAGCTCAGATGCGTTTCTTCCAGCGGTAGGACTGAGGACAAATCACGCTACCTGCTTTCAGTAAAGATCTTTTTGTTTTTTTAAGTGAGAAAGCTGAATAAAGCCTTTGAACTCTAGATGCCACCTAAGTTTAGTGGTTTGATTCCATTCAAGCAATTACTGAGGACCCATCAGGTACAAGGCTCATCGGCAGGCAGGAGTACCAACTTGGGGTCTGTAGCCACACGGGGCAGGCGGGGAGGGCAGGGGCGGGGAAGGGAAAGCCCCGAGGTGTGGGCGCCTCTCCTGAGGGGTGTGCTCACGGAGCCCTTCCCACGCCCACTGGACTCTCCTTGTCACCCGATGACGAACAGCGAAAGGGACGGCTCCATGACACTGCCCGGTGGCCGGCGCCATTTGGGCAGCGGCGCGGTGCAGGTGTGACGGAGTTTATACAATTATTTCAACTCTCTAGACTTACATTAGGACCCAGTGTAGGAAAAGGAAAAAGTGTCGATGCCAATAGTAAGAAACACAGACCTCAAACGATACAGCTGAGTGGGCCAAAGGTGAAAAACAAGAGGTGTGTCCACGGGCGCATCGACGGACACACGGCAGGGCCAAAGGCGGAGGCACCGCTCTGCAAGGTTCGTGGGCTGTCCCACTGCTTTCTCACACCGTCCCAGAGCAACAGGTACTCCACGGAGGGAGAAAGGGAGGAGATGAATGCTCGCGTATGAAACACCAGCAACGCACCTACATTTACATACAAATGACGGATACAACCGACACTTGCACTTCAGGTCCCTGGGGCGAGAGCGCCTGCCACTGACCCATGAGCTTGCCGACTGTCACGTGTTGGTTTCACTGCCTGTTTCCAAAGACGCTTCCGCAGAGGCAGAGGTAGAGGCAGAGGCTCCTGTCACACACAAGAGGCCTGCGCATCGAAGGTGGCCCACCCTCCCTTCCAGGAAGCCAACAGGAGGGCGAGCTGGAGTTTCGAAGGTCGGCTCAGCAAAGCCTCACGGAGGTGTCACCACCCGGTTCACAGCAGAGATGGAAATCCTGCCCCGGGCTGCACGCCTGCCCCCCCCCGCCATGAATTCTACACTGATGATGCTACCATAGGCCACCAGTGGCTCAAGTCCCAAGGTCAACGTTATGGAGAGGAAGACGCAGTTTAAAATTTAACTGGGCCCCAATTCCCTCACTTTCTGGGTGGTCACAGATCAGTTAACATTAGAGATCAGTTTTTAATGGGCGTCCCAGGCCCTCAAAATGTGGGGCTCAAATTAATGTCAGATTCAGAACCCAAACAAAACTACAGAGGAATTCACTGTCGCATTTTAAAACATGCGCCAGAAACGCAGCGAAAATTTTATGTAAATTTTCAACTCCTCTCTAAATGAAGTTCTTATTTATGAATCGTATGTTTTTCCTTTTTAAAAATAATTGATTCTTGAAAATACATCAGCTGTAATAAAACATATCTTTAAGAGACAATTCAAGCAGTACACTTGGCAGACTAGAATGCCTTAAAAAAGCCCGTCTACTTTCTCCCCTAAATGTTCCAATTGTTAAAAGGAAAACTGCATTTTATCAACACTTTAACATATCATTAAAAATCTCTAGTATTTGACAGATGAAGATAAAAACACCCCAAAACTATAGATGAATTATCAGGTCCCTAATGATTCCAAAACAATTACAGGATGCAGAGCAATCTAGTTAAATTTTATTCAAAAGCTTACTACACTTGTGTTTTCTTTTATTTTTCTATCAAGAAACCCATGAGGTTTAAGCACAATTCATTATGTATGAGACCCCACTTGCGGTGCTTGA